CACTTATTGAATTCTTTATGTTCCACTAGAATATATGCTCTGAGTAGCAGAAATATTTTTTCTAGAACATTATCGAATCCTCACTGCCTAAAGCAGTGCCTGTTACAGTTCTTTGTAGTTACTTGTTGAATAAATGAACAGATGAGTGAATGAATTTTAGTGTTTTGAATTAAGAAAATATTTTGTCTAATGTCCTTGGGTGACCTAGTACACTGCTCTGCTATAATTTTTAAGATGAAAGAATGAAAATTCTGTAACCAAGGACACATATTTTAAAGATAATGATATAAATAGCCAAACTTTTATTTCTTTTATCTTTCATATCATGAAGGAATAATAAGTATGAAAATTCTGCTCACAGTAACAGTAATTCTACTTAACAGCTAATATATTGAACATGAAGGTAAAAACTGTCAATTTTCTTTGGATTAAAAATGTCGGTAGAATGAGAAAACAAGGTAGTTATTATATAGCTAATTGGACTTTCTCTGGTATACAATTTAAAGCAACTGTGAAATATTGCAAAGGAATATATTAAAGGTAATATTTTGCAATTATAATTACATACATAATGAGAAATTATAATACATTCTAAAATTGTATAGAAATGTCAGTTTACCTCAATTAATTTCAAATAAAAATTATGCATGAAATGATTGCACTGTCTAAAAGGAATTTGCTATCTGGATAAAATAGAACTACAAGCATTACTACCCTAGAATTGCCTATAAATAGACACTGAAGCTAGTTCTGTGATCTCTGCCAAGGATGCAGCTTCAGTTGCCTTGAAAAAGATTGTTTCTCTTCTCTTAGGCCCCACTTTGTCAGGATATAGTTGGAATGGTGGTGGAGTGGGGAGATAGCTAGCAGAGCCAGACACGTCTGGTAAATCAACTTTCACAATTAGCCAGTGGATAGATGTCAGTTGGCTGTCATGCCCAATTTCAATTACTGACAATTAGGAATTAGGCAAAATAGGAGTATTTTCTCCTCCACCTTCCCTTTCTAAAGTGCAGATATTTTCTGAATAATGTTAGTTCTCGGTGGATTTGGAAATGCAGATTATTGGGTATCTATAGCCTATGCAGGATTGGTGTTATTTTTCTATTTCAAGTACAGATGTCCTTGGATAACCTTGCATACCTTGAAAACAAGGTTTTCAAATCAGGTCCAATGAAGGACAAGTTCTTCATAAAAATAATGACATATTTGGAAACCTATATGTTTAGTTAAGGTTTCTAAGCTGCAATAAATGTGTTAAGGATTCATCAAAATTTTTATAATAGCAATTTCAATTCTTAATTCTTTTTTGAAAATCCTTTCCATGTATATATCTGAAATTTTTAAATTTTCTTTGGTACTGGATCCAGAATACAATTTATAAAACTTTACATCAAGATGGAAAGATAAATTCACTTTCTGTTAAGACTTTGGGTTGTTTTATGCCAGAAGAATATTGCCTATGTGATGAGAATAATATGAAAGCCATAGACTGCTTAAGTCCATTGATTTTACTCAAGCAGAGTAAAGAAAATGGCTCTGTGGAAGTTTTCTATTACATAGAAGTGAGAAAGTAGTTGTGAAAAAGAAGCTAGCTGAGGTACTTGACACACAGTTCATGCTAATTTTAAATTGTACTAATACTTGACTATAGAGTCAGGATTCCTTTGCCAGGATTCGAATCTGCTGAAGACTTCATCAGGTCACTTGGGGAGATGTGCTGCCAGAATTCTCCAGACCTCTCCTCTCCAAAGGCTTTTTTTTTTTTTTTTTTGCCAAAACCCAGAAACGAACCATCTAAAGGCTTTTAAAAAATTTATTAAATTTATTGGGGGCGATGTTGCTTAATAAGGTTTTATATAGGTTTCAAGTATACCTAAAAGCATTTTAACGGGTAGTGAATTCAGAATTGACTTCATAGACTCTGACCATTATTGATAGAAAAGCAAAGTAAACATCATCGCTGAAAATAATTTTTCATTTATTTGTGAATCTGTATGCTTTTTTACTACATGTAGAAATTTGGCTACTCAAATAAGAATTTCTCTCTGTCCAGTGCCTGAACAGGCCAAGTGCCAGGAATGGTTTGCTCTGTACAGATGAACACTGATACTGAAATCTTTCTTTCCAGTTGATGCTTAGGAACCATATTTTGATTTTGATCCATGTCAAGATTTTAAGATAGTTTATTGAGAGAGACATGGGTCTCCACATTAGTATTTTTAAAATTTCTTCTATGAGTTTAATTTGAAAAAGAGTAAATCAGTAAATCATGCTTTCCTCCTAACTTTTGCCATGTTCCTTATAAAAATTAACATATACCTTTTCTGCCTCTAGTTTTGTAAAAAAAAAAAAAAAAGGGGGTGTGAAACTAAGTTTCACAGGTTAATTCCAGCCTTATTTCTTCATGGACTTTTATGGCATTTTAAATTTCAAAACATAATAATATCACAAAGTACATCATAAAGCTATAGTACTTTTAATTGACTATATTATACCTTTGGTGTTTGAGCACATACATTCTTTATAACTCTATGTACCAGTATTTTACTAGATCTATCAACTCCTTTAGAGTATAGACTATACTTACTTACTTAACTTTTTATTTTGAAATAACTCTAGTCATAGAAAAGACTTGCAAAAACACTGCACTGAATTTCATGTACCCTACTATACACAGTTTCCTCAAATGTTAACATCTTACATAATCATATTACAATTATGAAAACCAGAAATTGTATCAATATTATTGATATAATAATATTGACCAATATAAAGAATTTATCCCAATTTTGCCAGTTGTCATATTAATGTCTTTTTTTAGGTCCAAGATCCAGTCCAGGATCCCACAGTACATTTAATTGCCAGGTTTCCTTAGTCTCATCTAGTCTGGAGGAGTCTTTCTCTATTTTTCCTAACTTTAATACTTTTGAAGAGTCTTGGTCAATAATTTTGTAGAATGTCTCCCAGTTTGAGTTTTTATTTTTATGATAAAAATTGGCTTATGTTTTTTTGGCAAGACTACCACAGAAGTGATGCTGTGTCCCTCTCAGTTTATTATATCAGATGGTACATGATGTTGATATGTCTCCTTGATGCTGATGTAACTTTTGTCACTTAGTTAAGGTCTACCAGATCTCTTCACTACAAAGTTACTATTTTTTCCCATTGGAATTAATAAGTATCTTGGGAGGAAATACTTTGAGACTATACAAATATTCTGTTTCTCATCATACTTTTTGTCTATTAATTTTATGTTCCACTGATAATTCTTACTTGCAACAATTATTAATCGATATTTGTCAAATGCTGAGATATTCTATTTCCATCATTCCTTCTACATTTATTAGAGTTCTACTATGAAAGCTATTTCTTCTCTCAGTTATATCAATGTAGACTCATGAATATTTATTTTATTCTGTGGATTATAATTCATTACTATAATTATTGTTGTCCAAATTATCCCAGATTTTATTACTTATTCTTTGGTACCACAAGATGTACCAAGTTAATTTTGCTCCAGCCCAAGAATTGGTTCTTTCTCCAAAGACTCCTAGTTCTTCTGATTGGAGATTGATATTTAGAAACAAAATTCAGGTGCACGGTATGCTCATTGCTATTGGTATGCCATTACTTCTAGGCCCTCTCCGCTGACAGAGCTAGGAAATATGTATATGTGTATACTTAAACATAAACGCCTCTCTTCTATCTATCTGAATATTTATCTACCTAATAAAGACTATAAGTTCATTCTAATACTTCTAATTACAACCCAATACCACTAGTTTTCTTCTAGACTTCTTCCCTTCCTTGTTTGTAATTCCTTTCTCCAATGGCGAGAAACCTGGCTTTCATTATTGTAATATATTTACTTATTTGCTCAACCCTAGTATATATATATAAAGAAGCTTTAGAATTGTGATCCCATAATCCCTATGAGAAACAAATTTACTAACTAGGTAGTAGTGTTTGGGTACAGTTCCTTTTGTCTTTAGTTTTACAGTATATAGCAAAAATACTGGTTTCCAAAACTATTCAGGTTAGACCTTTTTTCTTCACTCTTTCAATGTAGTTACGTTGTTCATTTGTAATACAGCCAGGTTCATTTATTGTTTGCATTGCATTTGGGTTCCCCTGACATATAGAGATTGACTTTAATTATCATTTATTTGGGAGGTATGTGAAATATTACTGTAGTTCCGAGAGTTAAAACTATATGAAAAAGGTGTACTAGAAAAGCACCACTCCCTGCCTCATCCCTTGTATCACGTTTCATTTTCCCATTCTTTTCACCTCATTCCCACTCACCTCCTGAAGACAACCAGTTTTATTAGTTTTTGGTTTATTATTCTGTATTTCTTTTGGCACAAATAGATACATATATGTTATATGGTGACTACATTTTTTTGGCTTTGGTAATGGGCAATTTGAATGCTGTTTGATTGTTTTGTCTGTTAAGGGTAGTAGTCATAATTGGTGTATCCTTACTGCTAATATATCAGAAAACTAATGAAAGTCTTATTTTCTTTCCTAGAATGAAAATTAGAACATGAATTTTGTTGGGCTCATTAGCACTGTACTGTCGATCCTTTAATAGGATTTGTCCAAAAAAATGGTAACATAAAGCAAGCAGCAATGTTTTTCAAGTGTTGTTTAACCCATATATATATATATATATACACACACACACACACACACACACACACACACACACACACATATATATATCACACACACACACACACACACACACACACACACACACACATATATATATTTAGCAAGATGTCTAAAAATTTATTTCTCCTTATTAATTAATTTAAAGCATCAGTAAGAGCTGCTAGACTGTTACATAAAATACGTATTTTTTGCTTTTAGAGGTCTTGCAGAATAGCTCACCTTACAAACAAGGCAAAACAAAACATTTTCCCAAGTCTGTTTAATAGTGCCATTACAGTGCATTTTATTGTGCACTCTTTTTCTTTTCAAATCTTCTGCAGGCCTTTGGGCAGTCCTTCTCCATCCACCGTAAAGTTGCTGAGGATGGAGAGACTCGGGAGGAAACGCTTCTGCAAGAGTCGGCCTCAAAGGAAGCTTACTACCTGGGGAAGATCTTGGAGATGCAGAATGAACTGAAACAGAGCCGGGCTGTGGTCACTAACGTACAGGCAGAAAATGAGAGGCTCACAGCTGTTGTGCAGGATCTGAAGGAGGTAAACAAATTCCCTTTGAGAGGTTGGTGGGAGGGAGAAAAAAGATGAAGTTCTCTGGAGGCGAGAGGAATAAACCTTTTTCTTTAATCAGAGGAGTGTATTAAGCAAAAAGCACATAATACTAATGCTAGCACTTTTTCTGCTTTTTTAGTGAAATGGCAGCTTGTTCTGAGATGAGCTTTCTTCTCTTTTATTGTCTGTTAAGAATTAAAGTCTTTAATTTATTATTTGGGAATTGGGCTTACTGCTCTGCAAAAGAATTTAAAAAATATAATGCCCTTAGCACTTCCTCCCCTTTTTCTGTTTTAATACATTGTGGAGAAGAACAGTTGATGGTAATACTCTGTGTCAGCACTAATTCAAAATGACAGGACTATTTTCCCTGGGGAATGAGACCTGGGGGAGTGTTTTGAGGGGTCTTAGAGCCTGGTGATGCAGAGCCATAAACTATTTTTCAGGTTGTAGAGAAGGCAGCAAATTGCAGCTGCTGTGAATTAGGTCAGGGAGACTTCCTTCCTCAGTCCTGTTTCTATCACTCTTTCTCTTCAGCTTTCCCATAGCAGCATCATGGGGAATATTCAGGCTGCTCGAGTCAGTCTGCCAGTGATGCTGGGGACACTGGTAGCCAAAAGCAGCTTTATCCACCAAAGCCTTTAAAGAACATTTTTGGAAACTATTAAACCATCCACTCTAGTTTTTGATATGAAAGCTGCAAAAGAGGTGCAGGTGTCTTCTCATTTCTACACGAGTGCAGTAGACAAACAGGAGATTGACAAACAGGTACCAGGTCCACTACTAACTGTTGTAAAAATAGAAAAAGGTAGGATGAAAAAATTTTTTAATGTTATGAAGTATAACAGAAGTAATCCACTGATATCTTTCTGGAAATTAGTGACATATTACAAATAGAGTTTCATTATTATGAGACATAAGTTGTCCAAAATTTATTGGAATACTGGAATTCCATCAATAATTTACACTTAGACATGTCCAAGTTACAATGAACTATCTACAGTGAGGTCTCTGCTTTACCTTTTCATCATCTTTGGACATGCCCAAGTATAGTAGTATGACTTTGGAGAGAGAAAGGAGCCAAACAAGTGGAAGTTAATATGATTAGTACTAAGACTCGAAGTACTAAGTAATATGAAGAACATGAGACAGTTTTCAAGATGTCCTGCCTCACTTCTCATCGCTGCAAAGGAGCGTTAAGAACAAAGCTGCTCTCCAGTTCTTTATCTGATGCGTCTGTATGTGCCAGGATTGGGCGGTCACTTGCTTACTCTTACCCAGTGAGGGACATTTCTGTGGAGCAGTGGAAGCAAAAGCCTGATTAGGTTTAAGAGAGAATAAAAGGACAAAAATTGGAGACAGAGAGTAGAGGCAACTTTTTCAGGAGTTGTTTTGTTTACAGAGAGAACCAAAGAAATGGGAGGTA